ATGTTAAATGCACTTGTTTGACAGTAAGTATCATCAGTATCCATTCAGAAAAAGGATGTTTAACCATTATCTTCTCACTATAAATTAATTTACCTTATGTCCCGCATCTTCTAAAAACTTTGCAGCGGTCAGACCAGCGATGCCCCCGCCAATGATCGCTACGTGGCGGGGTGTCTTAGTGGCAGGAAGTCCTCTGTCCATAATGTTGAGAAGCTCGCTGTAGNNCAAGGGGTCTCCAAAGATCCCACTCACAGTGAACACCACAACCCCGACTAGAACCAGGGGAACTGAGGGAGGGAAGAAAATATCGATTCAAGTGGTGGATTCAAAGCATCATGAGAGAAAGAAGAAGAAGAAGAAGAAGAAGAAGAGGAGGGATTGTTTCAAACTTTAAAGGTCTCATTCTCAGGGTCCCAAAATGTCTGTATTTGACGCCCTGGAATAAGACCCAGCAATCAACTATTTTTCTTGGCTCTGACTGGTTGTTTTCATTTAGGCCCGGTGAATTCTTGCAAACGTCATTAGCAGCACAGATTTATAAAAATTAGCTACTGCAGCTTTAAGTACAATTTGCTGGTCTGTACTCAAGTAGGGTTTAATTCAATGCAGGATTTTTACTTATAATGGGTTTTTATTATGAATTCATTGGTACTTGGTATTTAAATGACCAATGTTTAGAATTTAGTGACCCCTTGTGGTCAAGTTGCACATTGCAACTCCCTTGCTTCACCTTCCCCTTCCAAGTGTGAAGGAGAAACTCTGAAAAAACGTAGTCCACTGTCCATCCGTAGTTATGCATATTATATTCCATTTCTGCCAATGGATCCTCCTAAATGTCACACACTGGACCATTAAGTGTCCCCTAGAATATTTTCACTGCTTTACCTTTACCTACAGTGTACACCTAAACTGATATTGCCTTTTTTCAAGTGTCTAACATACTATCTTCTGCTGACCCAATGCACAGCTGTGCATAGCTTGGCTTCCATGCCAGTCCTTCTGTTTGCTTGCACTGACCACCATCTACTGTAGGTCACTATGGATAAGTACCTTACACAAACCCACTTAAAAAAACCCAACTGTATTCCTGTACATGGAGTATGCTGATGCTGGTCACTGAGCTTTACCAAGCAAATTTTGTTGCCTACAATGACAAATAAACAGTCTTATGTTTCATGGTGATCACTAAGCAACCAACTTCCAGTTTCCGTTCTTTACTGCTGAGCTTACAAACATAACCAAATCACATCTCTAAGCATAATTTAGGGTTTATGACAAATCACATGAAATATACTATCATACTGCATTTTCACAATAATACACTTGTATTGCATAATCAGTCCTCCCTACCATTATGCAGATTTTATTATTTAGTTAGACGTCAAATATTAATTTTATAATTAATTAAATTACAATAGCAGCATCTGACCTTTAACTATTAAACTAAAGTATGATGTAATAGTGGTTTGTTTAACACTTACAGAATTTGCACAGGGCCATGTGAGGGATCATCTTGAGGATGGAGCTCCACAGTCTGGACTTCTTCCTTCTGCTGTTGATACTGACACTATGAGAGGAAAATGAAACCTACCAAAGGCAGGTGTGTGACAAGTTCAGTGGGAGACACTCAAGGCAGCAGTATCATAAACAAACAGAAGTCTGTTGTTTCCGTTGAACTAAATGTTCAATTAAAAACTTTTCCTATAAACACAGAAAAAATACATTAAAATTGGTACACACGATTTATTATTGCAAATAATTAGTGAATATGCATAAGTAAATGATCTAAAATTAGAAGAGAAACAGCAACAGCTCAGGCTAGACTATGATTCCACTCACCTTTAGTAAAGGTAATGTCTCGTAAGTTGTTGTAAGTCTATGCATGACTGAGGAGAAATGACACAGTCCTGATAAAGCTACACTCTCAATGCTGTCTCTCCATACGAAAGCAGCCTGGAAAACCTGGAAACGTGGTATGTGTGAAATTGCACACAACGTTATTTTAATGAGGGGACTGTGTGGCTCCTCAGGTCTTCCAGAAATATTTTCCCACACCGGCTCGAGAATCAACCACACTGAACAAATCAGATTAGTGAGGTTATACTAGTCATCAGCATACCTCATTTCCTCCATCTTCACTCATTTCAATATCTGAGCTGAAAGTGCTCATTCAGTGGTATCCCAAAATGCCAAAAGTCAAACTTAAAAAAGCTGCATTCAAACCTAAAGCTGCACTGCAGTACAGGTAATATGACAAAACATAAAGTTATAACAGAGTGGGAACACTTTATAATAAAGGACACAATATTCTGAGTAAGAACCAAGGCACAAATGAGTTCACTGCTAGTGAACCATTAGTTAATGAATACTCCTAGTCAAATTTGATAGATTAGCTAATGATTAGTTAATGATTAGTTAATTAAGAAATAGAGAGTTAAGAATAATAATGGAGGACTATGTAGTATATAATGAGTTACTAGAGAACAGACTAGGAGTGTCTATATTAACAAATCATTAGGTAATGATAAATTCATGAATATCTGTAACACAATCATAGTGACCACTTTCTTCATCTGAACCAGCTTGTGAACAACACAAAACTAGTAACAACTAATTCATTACTAATTGCACTTGTGGCCCCCTAAAGTAAAGTGGTGCATCTTTTTTCTTGACATGATGTGAGTTGATACAATATATGGTAATCTGTCAAGATTGACATCTGCAAGCTGAGCGAGCAGTCATGCCTTTTAAACATAAAAGTAGCTGCCTTCATTGGAGAACATCACTGCGTATCTGTATATGACAAAAATATCTAATAAATTATTCATTTAATTGAATACTTTTTTATAGTTTATGTAAATTAAGCATTTTGTTAAAGGTTGCTACTAACAATTAAAAAAGAAAACCATGACAGAGAATGGTTCACTCATTTGTTCCCTGGTAAGTACTCAAAATATTGTGTCCCAATTTGTATTTATTAAAAGAATAGTCTTTTACAACTTACTTGTATGTGTGGTCTTCAAAAAAGAAAACAGTCCCGACTCACCCAGCCTGTTCTGCATCCAACAGACAATGGCACATAGGTGGTGTTTATAGGCTGCAGGAAATGAAAGCAAAAGCAAGCAAGAAAAAAAAAAAACAAGTTTCATTTTCCTGACAACATTAGCTGCTGCTTGGTACTTTTTTGGAATTCACAGTGACTACATGCTGAATAACTACTTCTTTGGAAACTGGAAGTGATTAAGGACAGTACTGAGGGAATATTAAACTGACCACAAAAGGAACATAAAAACACATACGGGAACAGGAAATATTTCCAATTCCAACTTGTGTCAAAGCTTGATTTGGACCTGAACAGTCTGGTTGCTGCTGAACAGTCTGGTGGCAATCTCAAAGGGGGAGAGGATCACCTGACCTGCCTATTGTAGCTCAGGTTACACTCTACATCACAGGTTACAAAACTACCTAGCAATATACAGATGATGCACAGCTGAACGCAGCACTGTCTGAGGTCAAGGAGCAGGTTTTATTTCACATTTTTGTCAGCATGTGTAAAAACACTGAGTTCACTGAACTAATGAGGCCTTGGGAGTTAAGTCATCCATGTTAATGTATAATGTGTAAGGTACAGCTCTCGCAGCAGCCTGAGAAATCAGACAGAGATCTTAGGAAATAAGTGAAGACATTATTATTATTGTGTTCAGTATAGAGCTGGAGCCAGGGACAATTAGCTTAGCTTAGCATAGATAATAGGAGCAGGGGGAAACAGCTAACCTGGTTCAGTCCTAAATTCAAAAGCTTAATTAATAAATTAGCTTAACACACCTCTTGTTCAATCTGTACACAAACTGCAAGTAATTATGCTACTGCACCACAAATCAACAAATTGTCCT